TCCGAAATACCTTTTCCGATCCTAAATGTAACTTATTGCACTTATTGCATTTCGTGCATTTTTCACGTGATCAGTCATGGTATTCGGTATCACAATTTCCGTCATCACAATATCAAAAATTTACTAGTTAATACATGTTGAAGATACTAAGTAAAAATGTTCAGTACCCCAAAAAACTAACTATAACAAATATTGGAGCTTTATACCTAAACCTAATCTTGGTTTAAAATTGCATTCTATCTTTAAATTTGATAAAAAAAATAAGAAGTAGTGGTATTGTCACTGGTAGTAAATGCTAAATGTGATTATTATAAATTTTAAAAATTAAATAATTAAAAATCTTAAATTACTATTTGACTATTGTAATTGTTATGTATCAATTACACAATATAAGTCCACCAAGAAGAAAGGCATTTTAGCAAATATAGAAGTTTATAGATTATTTATCGAAATCAGCAATTATGCAAATTAGGCTTTTGATTATATAACATAATACACAATCCTTCTGTATTAATATTAATAGGCATTAAAAGCCCAATTTGCATTGTTACTAAACTATTATAATTAATCTGTAAGTTCCTATAATTGCTGAAATGCATTTTTCCCTTAATGGCACTTGTATTTAATTCTAATATTATATATATGTATATTAAGAAGCTAATTATTATCAAATAATTTAACTCTATCAGAAATTTAAAATAGTGCAAAAATTCGCAATTATATATAGAAAAAAATTTCATGTTATATTATGTGCATTTTATGACATTTATTTGCATATTATTATAAAATACACATTTTCTCTATCTCTAGTCAGAGTATTGCATAATTTGTATAACCTGCCAGGATTGCAGTCATGAATAAGAAAAGATGAGAGATTTGAAAGATTTGCATAGTAGGAACTGCAAAATGTGGTCTGTTTGGATGATAGTTACATAGAAAGAGTGTGTTTTGTATAATTCTATATATGATCATTGTAGAACCTGAATAAATTCTAACCATCTGAGGCTAATTACTAAATTAGGAAAAAGATTGTTTGCATTTGTTGCATTTGTTGCATTTGTTGCATCAGTCACATGTGATTGAAAAGTCATATCTGGCAGATATAATGAATATAATGAATATGAGTGATTGGTCAGATAAAGATGTAATCCGAAATCTGACAATTCAGATATCTGCTTTAAAATCTGATCCTATACGGATAACAGATAACTGCATATTAAGGGGTAATCTGGGTCAGATTTATCTGAATTATCTGATGAATATCTGTTATCTGTTTAGTTATAATTGTAATTACATATATACATATGTACATAATTAATCCATAATCAATTCTTTATCAATTTAAATCTATTTACTTTGTGTTGGATGATTCTTTATATATATAACAATGAATAAAATTACTAAAAAAAGAAATTACTAAGCAAATAACAAAAAGACCAATAATCCTCCTATTTAGGACTCTCAAGAGGATGTTTCCATTGGCACAAGTTTTTATATTGATTTATCTAATTGAACTAGCTGGATATGGGAATTTTTTTGTTTAGAGATTCAAAAAGAAGGTAATAAAGAGTGGGAAAAGTTTACTATTTGTAAGATTGAAATATCAGTTAGAGTAGAACGTGGATGAACATATAGAACTAAGTCTTCAAACAACAATCTTATTGGGCATCTATTAGCAGACCATAAAGTTATGAAAAATAACTTATATCCAAAAGAGGTCTGTATATAATTTTTAATTATTATTACATACATTATTTGAATATTAATTTTTTTATATCAAATAATAGTCATTATAATCAACATGTTTTATTCAACTATATAATAAAAAAAGATAACAAGAATTAAATAATATGCTTGTTAATTGGCTTATTGCTGACTCACAACTATTTATTATTATTCAATATTCTTTATTCTGATATTTTATAAATGAATTAGATGCAAAATTTGTTATCCTTGGCACTAAGCTAGTTAAACAAATTATTCATCATGCTTACAATTATTGTATGCTATTTTTATATTATCATCTTGAAGAAAATATCATTAAAATGTTTTTTACAATAGATCTTTGAACAATTAAAAATCATCATGGGTTTCTTGGAGTTACTTGCTCATATATAAATCAACAATTTAAATTAAATGAAGTAATTCTTGCTATACAGTATGTTTGATATCCATACATAGTCAATAATATTTATGAAACTGTTAAAAAAATCATTTGATATTAGAATTTAATAAGCAAAATACATTCAATTACAACAGATAATGCCCTAAATATAAAAAAATCTGTAGCAAAGATGAATGGAGTTTTATGACAAGACTGTAGTGCACATACATTATAGTTGGTTATTAGAAAAGTTTTATTATCTGTTAAAACATTAATAATTCATACAAAACATTTGATTAACTTTTTCTTATATCCAAAACAATTAGAGTGATTAGAAGAAATCAAAAAAAAAAATTCCAAAAAAGCAGCCATAGTAAGTTTTAAATAATTAATTTTTTTTTACTTATTGTATATATATAATTTAAATAAATTTAAATAATTTATTTATTTATATTTAAAAGGTGCTAAAAATACTACAGATTATTTAATTAATTGCATAGCTGATTGTGATATATGTTAGAATAGTTCATATCTAGCATAGACACATTTAATACAAATTAAGACATATATTGAGCTACTTATGATTCATCTTACAACTCATAAAAACTCAGATGAGTATAAAAATGGAAAACATTTGTATGAAATTTATTTAATAGAACAAGAGTGGAGTTTGCTAAAAAATCTTATACAAGTTCTTGAACCATTTGGAGAAGCCATTCAATATTTGGATGACTCATACTATTCAATACATAGCCTTATATATCGTGTTATTAAAAAATTAAAAGAAATGTTTGAACCAATAATTATTAATATGGATGACTCAAGTATTGAAGATGAAAAAGATGCATTTGATGATGATGAAGAACCAACTAATGAAGAACAAATTATGTTAAATAATTTTGTTAATACTACAGACTTGCTAAATGAAGTTAAAGCAAAGATATATACAATACTTTGTTATATTATCCTAACTAGTACCTTATGGATTAGTATCTGCACTATTAGATTCTCTACTTAAATCTTTAGATTTTGTTAAGGTTACAAATAAATTGACAGCTAAAAGAATTCTTTTAAATTTATATAATAATGAAAAACTATTAGAAAATAAAGAAAATCTAAGGTTGTATAATTTTATGATTCAAAAACTTATTTATTTTATTTATTTTTTTTATTTTTTATTTTTTTACAAAATAGTGAATATGAAAATCAAGATTCGAACAATGTTAACAAAATAGATGATTATAATTCTAACAATAATCTTCTATATATACCTTGTTTACTAAAATCATTAGAAAATGATGATTCTCAAGTAATAAATAAAATTGAAGAATATTTCAGAATTCTGAAGACTAGTTTGAGAAAAGATCCTTTAAGTTGGTAGAATTTGCATTTAAAAAAATTTCCTATTTTATCTAAATTGGCACGAATATACTTGTCAGTCCCTGCAACTTCAACCTCTAGTGAGCATTTGTTTAGTGATACTGGTAACTTATTAACATTAAAAAGAACCCAAATTATACCTGAACTATTCAAAAAAATGATGTTATTAAAGAGAAATGTTGAAAAATGTCAAAATATTCATCCTTCTAAATAATATAAGTATATTTTTTATAAATATTATGTAGAATTTGCAAATTTGTGAATTTGTTTTATAATAAACATATTATGAATTAGCTTTGTAATAAATATATATATGTATTGCAAATTTGCTTTGTA